GCCTCCCATAGCTGTGAGCTGGTTAGAAGCCAGGCCATCTCGAGTTACAGTCCCGCCTGTCCCCTGAAATAAGACCATCAGAGATGTTGGAAAGGCTTTGCTTAAAGAAAGAATTCTGGTGTACGTTACTCATAACCAGAACCATCTGGAAGCAATCTCGCGTTCACACGATGGACTTCTCTTCCTCTTTGGCCCTCGCTCGCTCTATAAATCCCATCAGCCCAGGAACAGCTGCCGGAGCTGCTGGCCCGAAGCCAGGGGTGAAGAAGCTACAGCCCTCCTCCCCGCCCCCACTTGCTCCTCACCCCATGTGGCTGGACAAAGAGCACCAAGAACACTGATTTTACACAAGAGCAAAATCCCCGGCAGGCCCAGAAGCGGGGACCTGCAGCCACAAGGCCAGCTCTGAGAAACTGTTGTTTCAACTCCCTCACACAGATGCTTGCCAGCAAATTATGGCCTGAGCGGGCTCCGAGGGCTGCGGGTGGGGACACAGACCTCAGTGCCAGCCAGTGTGCATCGCGCCGTCGCAGCTCAGGCACAAAGGGCCGGGGAGGAGGGGCACTGGCTGGCGTTGAGTTCAAGGCCGGATTCTGGCCCCAGGACCAATGACACCAGGCACAGAAGGGGAGAGCTGGGCCGCAGCAGGGACGAACTCGGCGCTGGGGGTTCTGTGAAGAAAATGCCTTTATAAATCAAACCACTGGGCAAACTATCTGAGGAGAGGTGGAAAGAGAGATGGGGGAGCCAGGGAAGAGACTGATTTCATTATGAAGGTCCTGGTGACAATAAACTTTTGTCCTCAGTACAATCTGGGCCTGCCGAGCGGGTCCACAGTCTCTGAGAAAGAGCAAGGGTGGGAGAGAAAGGATGCCCGCCAGGAGGCAACAGACTCATCCTTAATGATGAGACAAGGCTTCCCCGAGCTGACATCCTCTCCCACGCTCCCTCCCGCTGCAGACACACCGTGGACGCTGGCACGGTGCTCCTCTAACGAGAGCAGGCGTTTTCCTAAGCATCGCAGAGCTGGTTCCTTGGGGATTTTTTCCACCATCGCACCCAAAATCACACACAGGCTCTCAGTGATGAGTGTGGAGCATCGTGTTTCAATCTGGCCAATGGTCTACTGGGTCAGAGTGAGACTAGAAAATTTACTGCCTAAGCAACTTACTGCTCCTCAGATGCTTCGTCTCACCCTCTTGAAGCCTGGTGGGTAGAGGTCCCCTGCTCAAATTTATGCCACAGCTCAAAAGGGGATGATGACGTCTAGTCTCACCCTGGAGAAAAGCTCTGGATCAGAAAGAGCCGTGAACTAGTGTCAGAAACCTGGGTTCTAGTCCCTGTTGTGACACTTGCACGTTGGTGGAGGCCGAGAAAATGGCCTACTTCCTCTGGGCCTCCATTTGCTCAACTGCAAAATGGGAACAAGGAGGAGGAGCCACTCAGCATCTGGCAGTGCAGCCAGCAGTGCACAATGCACAGTCGGCCCTCCGCACCTGCGGGCTCCCAGCTGCACAACGGTTTCCAATCTGCTGTCAGTTGCATTCGTGGCTGAGAAACCCGGGGAGGCAGAGGGCCCACTGAATATTCCTTGGAAAAACCTGCCTGGAAGTGGATCTGCGCAGTTCAGACCCGTGTGGTTCAGGGGCCGACTCTAATTTAAAGCTTTGATGGGGAGGAAAAGCTACCAGTCCTCATCTCCTTTCCCATGGAATTGCCGGCTCAGAAAGCCAGCAAATTGTGGTCCCATTTTTTTAAGTCCCAATAAGTAATGGCTAGACCTGAGGTTTTCCTTTAGAGGCTAAAAAGTTTTCAAAGGGATTCATTAAAGTTGGGGGAGGGAGTTTACATACGCAGTGGTCTAAATTGGTTTTAAACTTCCCAACTTCTTCCAACAAAGATGTGAAGCGCTCTCCTTTGCCTTAAACATCATTTTCAAATCAAAAGTAAACACAGGTAGGAAGTAGTGCAAAGATGTACGTACATCTCTGCTCAGAGGCAAAGCTGGGAGGCAAAGCCATGTAGGGAGGGAACGACGCTGAAATGAATCCACAGATCCGGTCTGAGGAAGCCATTCTCAGTCTTGGCTCCTCAGTGATAAAGAGTGTGTGTGTGTGTGTGTGTGTGTGTGTATGTGTGTGTGTGTGTGTTTAAAGACAGAGGGCATATAAACTTGGATATAATCTACATTCAAAAAACTATGAAATGGAGGTAACCTTTAGCCATTTGTTCACCAAGTTGGTTTTGGCTGCTTAGATGTCATTCGCCTCGCTGGCCTGGAAAGAACATACAGACAGCCTTGCCTCAAGTTCAACATGTTTCACATGAAAGCTCCTCATTCCTACCCTTCCACCCACTGGTCATCCACAATGTCCACCTGTCCCCACTGTCCCCCTCCACTCCGTCCATTACACCCCTTTCTTCCTTTCACCCAGTAAGTACTAGCTTCCTGTCTGCTATGGGTCAGGCACAGGACATGGGGCTCCCCTCAGGGGGCTTATCGACTATGTGAAGAGACATATTTAAACAGATAATTGAAATAATTCATGATTTACCTCTTACATGCATTGCTTATACCTGGCCTATATGATCTAGCTTCTTGTTCATTTCCTTTCCTTGACTATTTTCTGCTTCCATCCCTCTATCTGGCCCTCGGGACCGCACACCTCTAGTTCTATGATTTGTTCCCCTGGGTATCTCTATCTGCTCTCTCTCCTAGTCCCCTTGAAACTCCTCTTAGAACCAATTTCCTAAAGCGTTGCTTTCATCTTTCCTTCTTCTCAGAAACACACAAGAGTAACCTACTGCCTCCCCCAGTAAACCCCAACCTCTCTGCCTGGCTCCCTTACCCTCAACCATGTTCCCTCAATGCCAGATCAGCTGGCCATTTTGCTTGCTGTCTCTTAGATCGACTCTTTCATTTACGCATTTACAATCACGTGGTTCTTGACTTGGGATGCCTTTCCTTTCTTTGTTCCAAATTCTGCAAATTCCAGACCAAACCCTGCCATGCTATTCTGAACCAGAGTAGCCCTCACCTTCAACTTTTCTATAAGAGTGCTGATTTTGCTGACAGGATAGAAATGAATTTACAAAGAACACCCAGTTGGTTTAGGGCAGTGATCCTCAATCTTTTTTTATCTCAAGGCACACAGAAACTAATTACTAAATTTTGCAGCACACTAAAATATGTATTTTTTGCAAGTCTGACAGAAAATAGGTATAATTTTGATTCATTTACACCAGACGGCTATTGTGTTGGCTGCTGTCATTTTTTTATTTGACAATCTGAGGGAAAAGAGGTCAGTGCTCCTGACCAAATAGTCAGGTACTGCATGCTTTCCCCCACTTAATCCTCACCCAAGGATATGTTTGAGAGAGGGAGGGGGTGGCGGGGGGGCGGGGAGGGAGGGAGGAAGAGAGAGAGAGAGAGAGAGAGAGAGAGAGAGAGAGAGAGAGAATATGAGAGAGAGAGATGTGAGAGAGAAACAGCGATCAGTTGCCTCCCATATGCACCCCGACCGGGGATCAAATCTGCAACCTAGGTATGTGCTCTGCCGGGGAATCGGACCCACAGTGCATGGTGTATGGGACGACAGTGCAACCGAGCCGCCAGCCAGGGCAGGTATTGCATGTTTTCAAAATTCACCAGTTGAAAATCACTGGGTTAGGGTAATGAATCTGGGGCACCAAATCTCCAAAACTGAGAGCTGCAAATACAGTGGACCCTTTCTGATTAATACGTGCATGTTTAGGAGTATTTTAGGCTTTGTGGGTCATATGGTGACTACTCAACTACGCTGATGCAGTGTAGCCAAAGATCAAACATACAGTGCTAAACATGGCTGCACTAAAATTATTTATAGAAAGGGCCCGCAGGTAAAATTTGGCTTTTGAGCCACAATTTGTTGACCCTGTTGTAGAAGAAGAAGAGTGGATACTGGTGAGGATGTCCTCTTTTGGATGGCAAAGTACAACAGGAAGTGTCCCTTGGATCAGCCCCTTATCTTCCCTGGTCGCTCCACTGCTCCTCTGAGACAGTATGTACCCTAGGAGAAGATTCCCAGCCTAGAAGTCATCACCATGGGAACTGGGGCTGTGACCATCTGTTACAGCTATTTTGGTCAACGAAGAAGAGATACCGGAATCTACTTCTTTGCCTGAGTTGGAGATACGGCGAGGTAAGAGTCGCCGTCTCTTTCTCCAGTCATCCTCCAGACGGGCAAGGGGCTTACTGGTCAGGACCACAGGGCCCAAGAGCAAATCTTCACCCATCTGTCTCCGTGCCCGGCACTGCTCTCTCATTCAATCCTTCCACCAACCCTCGTACCTGTAAGTACTTGATCAGCCTATTTATTTTTCAGGTGGAAGAAATCAATGAGGTTCCTAGTCCCCGTTGGCCTGATCCACAACAGAATCGGTCTTGTGCTTAGCAAGGTGTGTTTGGAGAGTAAGATGCCCCCTGCCAAGATTTCGTATTTCAATTTGGATGTGATGAAATAATGAGGGTAAATCATTACTTCTGGTCCTTACAATGACCCTTCAAAGAGTATATATGTTTTCACGATACCCATGGTAAACGGGGCTCATAGGGATGAAGTCGTTTATGCAACTTTGCCCATTTGGAAAGGTCCGAGCTAAGGTTCAATCCAAGGATAATGACTGGCCCAGTAAACCTCTGGTCCAATCCTTCGAGCCTCTGACCTGAAAAACCAAGTTCAATGTGTTTCAAAAGCCCCCAAATGCTTGTGAAAAGTGAGGAACTCTGTCACCTCTGTGGGGTCTAGTGTCCCCGAGGAGAACCTCAGAGAAGCAGACAGGCCAACCAGCCCTGAGACGTGGGAACTGGACCCGGGCGCAGAGCAGGGGCAGCGTCGCCCTTTCCCTGACCACGCCCGGGTCGCGGGGCACCTCCTGATCCAAACTGTGCGCGTGGCCGGTTATGGCGCTGACGCTGCCTTCACACGCCCTGGCGGTGGCGGAGGGAGGCGGGCTCTTACCAGCCTGTCATGTTAAAGTCCCTGTAGAGCATCTTCTTTCCCAGCTCCTTCCTCTGCACTCTCCTTGGAAACTCCAAATGTGTGAACTCATTTCCCAGCAAGTGAGGCTGCATGAATGCCTAAGAGCAGCAAGAAAGAAAACACACACACACAGATTTAGAAGAAAAAACGAGACTCAAGGATGTTTTGCAAATCGAGACAGGCCATACATATTTCAAATGCACACAAAAAAAATCGTTCCCAAATTTTAAGGAAAACAGGTTTAAGAATCTCAGTGCAAATAAAAATCACCCACTTAATTTATTAAGGGATGTAACTTTTTCATTTGATGTGAAGAATTAATTGTAAGTGAAGACATGTATGGACTGCCAGCGTTGTCAGGAAAAGAGGCTGCTTCTCCCAAGGTTCACTTTTTAATTCAAATCCAGGATGGGTTCCCTCTCCCGCTGGCACGCTGGCGAGGCCAGAGAGCCCCCCTCACTCCTTCCGCCTGCCCTAGGCTTTCTCTGCTGTCCTCTCCCGCACACTCCTGGGTCCCAGGCCGGGCCTTTAAAACCCGTGAGTCTCTTGCCCTAACCAGTTTGGCTCAGTGGATGGAGGGTCGGCCTGCAGACTGAAGGGTCCCGGGTTCGATTCTGGTCAAGGGCATGTACCTTGGTTGCGGGCACATCCCCAGTGGGGGGTGTGCAGGAGGCAGCTGATCGGTGTTTCTCTCTCATCGATGTTTCTAACTCTAACCCTCTCCCTTCCTCTCTGTAAAAAATCAATAAAATATATTTAAAACAAAACAAAACAAAAACCCGTGCGTCTCCAGGTCAGCACAACGGCCAGAGCGGGCGGGCTGGGCTGAACGCCCTCGCTTCGGCTCTGCAGTAAGGTGATCGTGTAATTGGAAGACGGTTCCAGAGCAGATGGCTTCCTCCCCTCCCCCAGATCCCTGTTCGCACTACAAAAGTATTGAGCAAACAGCTACTTAGGGAACTGCTTTGAAACAACAAACAGTCTCATTGTCAGGTTCAGAATTCAGGTCCAGCTCTCCAAAACATGAAACGCTCCGATGTGAACTCCGCTCAGCGGCCACGCACCGGGAGCCCCCGGGGCATCCCCACCTCCCCTGCACGCCTGGGAGCAGCATCGTGGCGAAGCGAGTCTTCCCTCTCTGTCTGGCAGGGAAAAGAGTGGGCAGAGCAAATCATGGTCTGGGCCTGCAGGAAATCAAGGGACCCCTGCAGCAGGCCAGATGGCCACGTCCTCAGCCCATTGGAAATAGGCCCTCCCACATCTTTCCCAGGACCTGACACCGGTGGACCTCCCGCTGATGCTCGCAGGGGTTTCGGGGGTATTCCTGGGGTGTTCGTCACCAGCGTATCAGGAATAAAAGGAGGCAAGCTGAGTTGTCACCGGGCTGGTCAGATTTGGCCAGATAACGGAACTGGAGCCAGTGAGTCCGAGCAGGATTGGGTGCGTGACAGGCAGGGCCGGCCTGAGGGTGAGAAGGGGACCTGTCCTTACGCTGAAGCCCCGCCAGGTCTGACGGGAATTCTAGGTCCCCTCTGAGGGGCTCTGAAACCTTGGCTTGGCTGCTGATAGAGGTCAAGGACATTTAACACTGGGTTTCACAGAGGTTCCCTGGGAGGGACGGAGAGAGGGGACTACTATTTAATAGGGCAGGCCCATGGCTTGGGCTTTGGGGGAAATGGACTTGGGTTTGAATCTAAGCTCTGCATTTATCACTTATAAGCTGTGTGATTTTCGGAGGTTAACCTCTCAGCCTCAGTTTTTTAAATCTGTACAATGAGATTAGTTATGTATTTGTCTCAGACTATTTTAATGATGAGATGTCTATAATGCACTTATCATGGTTGTCTCCGTTCATCAAAGAAAACAATCATACCCATTTAATAACTATTGGGCCCCATTACATCCAGGGTCCTATGCTAACTGCTTTGTGAGTTCTCATTTCACCCTCCCAACCACCTTACTGGCTACATAATTCGAGAGGCCCAGTGCAGAATGAAAATATGAAGTCCCTGTGCAAAATCAAGAATTCAAGAGCGTGACAGCAGAGCAGGAAGCCGAGCCCAGGGCCCCGTGCAGCTGCAGGCCACATGCCCGTGCAGCCAGCTGTGGGTACAGGGCAGATGCTGCTCTTCCTCCTCTATTTTGTCCACCCACGGAAATTAGGGAACAGAGGCATAAAAAGTTAACGAAGAGCAGCATCTCTTATGTGCCCTGATCACCTCGAAATGCCGGGACTGTGTCGGCGTGGTGTTCTGTCGCACCCCCTCCCTCCCAAGCTGGACCAGACACTTGAAATGCTGTGTATTACTACCCCAGCCGTCCTAAAGGTTATCCCATAGACTCAATATACACACGAGGAAACCAAGGCCCAGAGAGGTTAAGACACGTAGCCTGGGCTCTCAGCCAGGCCTGTGTGGTTCTAGAGCCTGCGCTTCCTGTCGTCCCCAGGCCCCCATCCTAACCCTTCTGCTGGCCCTTTAACCTGCCCGTACACACATTTACAAAAAACAATAAGGGGACGACAAAAGGCCTGTGATCTTGGTGCGCCCAGACCACACGAAGTCAGATCACAAAGAGGTCCCCGTGAGGACCCAGCTTAACAGCAGTGCAGCTCTGCACACAGCGTGGCCACAGAGATGGCCCTGACATTATGCTTTAACAAGTTAACTAGAAGAAATTCATATGAGTGATTAAAGAAACTAGTGCAAATCCACACAAAGGAATTATATGCTGTCATTTACAATGATGCCACAGAGGCGATGTAATGACACAGAAAGGGGTGCTGTGAGTGTGAGAGCTTATGGGAACTATGTCATATATACACAGATCTCTGTGTAAGATATATATGTTTACAGTTGGCCCTCTGTAGCCACAGATGCCGACTGTACACATTGTTCCATGCCGTCCTATAGAAGGGACCTGAGCATACGTGGTGGTCCTGGAACCAATCCCTTACAGACGCCGGGACGACTATAAATAAATGAGCACGTGTGTGTGTAAATAGAGGTACACGACACACGTATTGTATATGATCAGCAAACACGTTAGATACCAAGGTCATTCCCAAGGACATTTCCTCACCAACCCCGGTGACTAACAGGAGTGAATTGTACAGAGTTCCAGGCGTTTTGTCTCTTAATCGCAGAAGGAGTGGTGCTCTGCCGTGCTGTACGCAGGTACCCTCACGCCTTCCGCCCGCATACATGTGCAAGGCCAGTCGTGCGGGAAGATCTGCCAGGCAGATGCCCGCGGGTAGCTGGGACTCCTCGGCAGCTCTGCCATCTGCAGGGGCCGCCTCACCTCTGCCTCTGAGGATGAGCAGGTGCCAAGGGGCCTTAAATTTAACACTCTGACATCTGCGGCCCCTTCCCACGCAGAGCCTTTCAGGGTCTCAGCAACCGCCTGCGTCTCCCATGATGACCAAAGGCAGCTCCGTGCATCCACGCTGGATGCCCTTGATTAGCTGCACCGAGTTTTATTACCTCTGAGGGGGAAGGCTGCCAATTAAGCTGCGCACACTGCTTTCTTACTACTTCAAACTTTTATTTTATTCTTTTTGAGAGAGCTCCTTTTGACTCAGATAAGCCTTTATTATCTACCACTATCGTGTATATTTGAAAAGGAATATACAAGTGAAGTGTATTGGCTGAGGTCTTCCAAACCTTTTTCACATGGAGAATCCAACAGCGCGCATCAGCTGTCAACTCTGAATCATTCACGTCCTGGCTTTTCCACACAATGGTGGCCTGTGTTCCGTGGGAGCGTTGGCGAGGCAGCGTTTCTTAAATAATCCACAAAAGAACCACAAGCCTCCAGCCAGGGGTGCGGAGTTCTGAAGTCCGCCTTGCAATGATCTAGAGCCAGCTTACTTCTGACTCGGCCTCGGGAATGTGGCCGAGCAAGTCTCATGCGCGCCTCCCAGCCCTGCCTGCGCACAGCTAGTTGGATCCCCAACGGTTCAAAGAGAGGGCTTCGCTTTTGTCTGCAGGGCTTTCTTCTAAGCTGCTGGGCCCCTGTCCCCGCAGGTTTGGGGCTGCTCTTTAGCTGTCTGCACATGCCCGGGAGATGACGCCCAGGTCGTGCCTGCCATCTGGCCGACAGCAACAATCCACTGCGACACACCCCAGCTTCAGATGTGTCAGAAAGGGAAGAGAGGGCATCTTAGCGCTGAGGATACTGTGATATTCAGCCCCCACTGGTACCGATGCCACCCCCTTAGATTTCTCTATCGTTACAGTTATTTTTCTTCCTGTCTTGCTAATTGCCACAGCACATCTCACATGGTGCACGATACGGTTCCTGTCACCGCCACGGCCTGCCAGAGAATCTGTGATTCCATGGGTACCTCTGACATATTTTTACTGTTTTTTAAATATCACCATCCACATCCTAACTACAGGCCTCCTTTTTACCAGCACTTTCCATACTCATGACTGTTGCATTTGTCAGACATGATGGAGTTACTGGTGTTAAAGAAAACAACAATCAAGAGCTAAGTACAAGCAGAGAAAACAGGTGGCTGATTAATGAAAAGAGATGCTAAAATATAATGGGACATACACGTTGGTTTGCAGAGGAAAGTGCACTTCTGCTTATTCATGCATCTCCATACTTAAGAGAGTTTACACATATGGTCTGTCCTCGTAAGCTTAGCTGTTATATCAAAATAATGGAGGGTTTAAACAATAAAAACTTATCTCTCACAGTTCTGGAAGCTGGGAAGTCCAAGATCGAGGTGCCAGCAGATTGGCTGCCCGGTGAGGGCTCTCTTCCTTGTTTGCAGACAGCCGCCTTCTCCCTGCATGCTCACATGGCCCACCCCCTGTGCTCTCATGGAGAGAGAATCCAGCTCTCTGGCTCTCCCTTTGTCAGGATGCTAACCCTATCAGATCAGGGCCCCACTCTCATGACCTCACTTAACCTCCTTATTTCTGTAAAGGCCCCATCTCCAAATTCAGCACAATGAGGGGAGGGCTTCAACATACATATAGGGTTGATATATGTACATAAACTCATCAAAATATCATAACATGTTAGGACAGCTTTCTATTTAACTTACTCATATTCACAAATATTTCTACCATTGAACATGAATTAC